AGCATTTTTGCGATGCACTAGGCGACGGCCATACACGTAGATGACCTGTTTGTGGTATCCCATAGCCTGCCTCATGACTTTCTGCTTTCTTTCTGCATCACTTATATCTTGCAAGTAGATCATCTCGTGACGAGCACATTGAAGTCTGAATTTGAAGTGTGAAGATACTTCAGCAACCACATCGTACTTTTCCATTGCTTTCATTGTGCTTCTACTGTGAATGTGTGTAAATTTTGGGGTATACATGTGATGACATTGTATGCTGGCGACACGGTCAGATTTTGTTCATGCGTCATGTAGTACACACTTGCACGTTATGCATTGAAAAGGATCTGCTACTTGGGATCTTCGGATGAGTATCAGGTCAGCTTTGTCTTGTGTAGGCTGTACCAGATTGCTGTTCACTTCTCTATCTGTTGGATATGTGACTTTCGGCAGGTTTCTGGCGTATGATGGCCACTTCTTTGCTTGTCTTTGTATGATATTATATTCTGTATTCACTGCTTCCATGGCGTGGTCTACAAACTGCTATCCCTGGGCAAATGTCATTAATTTTATGCTATGCTGTGCTTTGGCCGTCAGCTTGCCTACACGTTGTAATTGAATTATTTTGTTTCACAACTGACTTTCTGAAGTATGGTGGCCACTGCTTTGCATGGCATTATACATGAAGAATTCCCAGTTTGGGTCGTGTGCATGTGTGTGTGTGTGTGCATGCGCACGTGCGTGTGCCGTGTGTACTTGTGCGTTAGTATCTGTGTGCGGGGTAGCGAGGTGGGGAGGGCTGGTATGTATCAGTGTGTTATTGCAGTCTCATGGCTACGTACAGTGCATCACACGCGTGCTCATCATGTTGACCTTCGCGGCCGGGCCCAGGGAACGGAAAAAGAACTGAAATTACCCATATAAAAACCGCGCTGTGAGCGGTTCTGAAAAACCTTTGCTGGTGCTGCCCCGTCGTAAAAGTAAGAAAGTAGAACTGGACGGCCATCAACACCCGGTAAACCCTGGCGGTCAATGCAGCACCTAACGGTGGGGGTGAGTAGATACGTCTCACAACCACTGACACAAGTGCCGAGAAACACCATTAGCCGCATCCATGTACCCCTTGTGCCTAGCCACAAGTTCCCAGTTGACTGTGGGTAGCAGCAGAGCTGGAAAAACCGCTCCCAGGCAGGACTTGAACCAGGTACCTCTCTAGTCGTATGTCCTTCATGGTCTTAGACCAACCCACTGTGCCTGCGTGGATAGCAATAGAAGTGAAGAATTAATTCACCCACATCACCCCATGATAGCTAAGCTTGGCTGCAGAATAGCAACTCTCATGCATAATGCCAAAGTCCAGTACACTATGGTCCGACAGTTCATATCACAAAATTACTATCGTTAGAGATGTTCTTACGAAATAATGGTTGCGACTTCGGCGATGATATTTTTAGGAATAGGTTCCCCACACTGGAGTTCGCGCTATTCCGCCGACTCAACTTGACACTCGACTGACTCACGACTGCCTTGCAGAGCACACGAGAAGTCCAACGAACCTTCGACTCGGCAAACCTGCAAGAAAGCACCGCTCCCTGCTCAATACACAGACTTTCGCACGCGTCATCAGTTGAGCTTGAGTAGGCTGAGGAAGATTGTGCCTGAAGAGCACCACTTATAATTATAATAGTGCTCTCCAGGCACAAACATCACCAGGGATACAAACTTACAGAGACGCTCCGTTTCCAGCGCGACAAACACCTCGTGAACACCAGATAGCAGCGCGAGTCAGTGTCGCTCCTGGACGGTGAGAACAGACGCCGAAGACTCTCGGTCATTCACAACGCTGTCACCTCCAAACCAGCTAGTCGTAAGCCTGCGCTGGGCACAACAGTACGAAATAGTGGTTGCAATTTCGGCGATGAATTATTATTAATTTTTAGGAATGGGTTTGCTCCCCACACTGGCGCTCGCACTATTCCGCTGACTTGACTTGACACTGTCTTGACTGACTCACGACTGCCATCCAGTCTTCTGCAAGTTCTGGGGCACAGTGGTCGCCCTATCCGAGTGATCGCCTTGACAGGTTTTACTGTACATACATGTTGTATACATGTACGTGTCCATTGTACAAGATGTCAGGCTCGTTGATCAAGACAAGAGGTGCAACCTATCACTTTACATCGTAAACTGACTTCTCACCTGGTCATGATGGAGTACAAGTCATGCACATGTACACACTGTACATGTGATTGTACTGTGTTACTGTACATGTGATTGTACTGTGTTACTGTACATGTGTTAGCACGTGGCCACGGACACGACCACTTGGTGCACTGTAATAGCATGTCTCGTGGGCAATGGGATGTGTCCGCGCGGCTCCTATGTGCGTGGCTCGGCGTGGCTAGAACGTCTACAAGAGTGTCTACTGAGCGAGTGTGTGAGTGAGAGAGGGGGAAGAAAATGAGAGCGACAGGGACGAAAAAGGGAGCGGGAGAAAGAGTGAGAGAGAAGAATAGAAAAACGGTCTCACAATCAAATGTGCAACTAGCAACTCATGGGTTCTAAGAAGGATAAGTCCACCTCGTGGAAAAAAAACGCCAAAGCGCGAATAATACTGCTCTTCTCATTCACGATCCAGAGTCGGTATTCGCAAGGTTGACTGTATAATTATTAGTGTTATGATCGTACAGTAAAACCTGTCAAGGCGACCACCCGGATAAGGCGACCGACTACCCTAGAAGACCACTGAAACCAGGACCAAGAGAAGCTATTTCCAGTCAAATGACCCTGGATAAGGAGACCACCTAGTATTAGAGACCACATTCTGAAGGTCCCTTGAGTGGTCGTCTTAGACAGGTTTCACTGTACGTGCTTTCAACTTACTTCAGTAGAGTGTGATGGCAATACATGAACATACAGAACGCCTCGTGCCATGACTCAAAAACGCACAGCTCTTGTGCTGATGATTGTAGAGCTAACGTGTACATGCACCAATAAAATATTATGGTATGGAGTATGGGGAGGAAGGAGCAAACATGACCACACACGCGTCAGTCACTGATTGGAATGCTCTGCATGTATGCTACATACATTGTTTGTTTGTATTCTTTATTTTAGAGTGGGAAGTCCAAACCAGGCCCTAGCCTAATAACAATGGTCCCACTAGTGAGGGAATGCTGTATATCTGTGCATAAGTATCAGTGAGTGTAACAGCAACTAGTAGGGAAAGAAAAAGAGAGAAGAAAAACAACTCAAAACAGGAGTTGCACCTTGCATAGGGAGAAAATAACGTAAAGAGCAGTGCATACAGCATTTGTAAAAAGGCTTATTAATTTTATCTGGTAAGCAAAAAGGCAAGAGCCATTGACTTAAAGCGATTGCGTTTTCTTTCTTGCCTGACCGCAGCGGGGAGCTGGTTCCATAAGATGGTCCCAGCATAGGTAACACGTTTGGCAAGATATGCAGTTGGGCTGGCTGGGACAATCAGTAAAATGCTGTGCCCACCACGAGTTTGAGTGGAATTACTGCGGCTGAAAAAGTTAGCGAACAACATGCTGATGTTAGAGGAGTCATGGACACAACGCCAGATAAAAACCAGAAGGTGCATGTTGGCGTATGTGGTCAATGTTTGGATGTTCATGCGTGTAAGAATATTGCTTGTGGGTGTCCCGGGAGGTACCCGACAGACTGTGCGTACAGCACGCTTGAAGAGCCCATTAAGCCGTCGACTTTGATACGCCGTGAGAAATGGTAAGTAAGCAGAGGCGGCATACATAAAGTGTGATAAAATGAAAGAACGAAAATAGGCTATGCGACATTGAAAAGGCAGGAATGTAGTGTATCGTCTGAGCACGCCAACTTTCGACGCGACGCCCCTTGCGACGTGCATGATAGTGTATCAAACAATAAGAGGACGGAAAAATTGTTTTTTGTCTGAGTTTCACGCACGAAACGATCATCAGAAGAAAGATCGCGTAGTGCGTGAAACTCAGTAAAACATTTTTTCCGTCCTCTTATTGTTTGAATACATGTAGCTATGCCTCTCGGTATTGAGCAGTCTATTGGACAGCCTGGAACCCCTCTGTGTTTTGACAGTGTATCATGACGTCCCGACATGGCAAAAACAGCATCGACCCGTATACATGTGAGGTACGTCCCGGAGGAACATAATGCGAAGCGAACTAGGAAAGAGCTATCGGCTATTAGTTTAATTAATACTATACATTACGCCTAGATCGCCCAGGGCAATGCTTTCATTTATAATAAATAGCGTTTTCAAGAAGATGTAGTTGCAGATGCACAAACAGAGCTCTCCTCAGGGTTAGCCTAACCCTTTTGCAAGAACGCCCTGTGCAAATAAACCGGTCCATCCAATCTGTGTGTCGTTCGCGTTGCACACGTTACACAGGGACAAGACGGTTCCAACGCAAGTACCCACTTGCAGGCTCAATGCGCCGTTCTCAATATCATGTTCACAGACTGTGGTCCTCACCCGTACTCAACAGACATGAACGGCAAACCGCGCGAGTTGAATACATAGGGTATAGTGTAGACCCCGAACCTAATCTCGACTCCCCCTGGGCCGACGATGCCCCTACTTGTAGACCTAGTCTTTTCCAGCGCGTAGACCGTCATCGCCTAGGGGCTGTCAGCTGAATAGAAACGGTCGCTGAGCGAGCCATTGAGGATTCACTGACAGCAAGCTGCCAGGCTGAGGAGGCGTCGTTAATGTGGACAGACAGAGTTCACGCACACTCACACGGACGATACAGGTGAAGGGCATTTTAGCCCGATCGGGAGAGGCATAGGTACGGCTTCGATCATGCAGTTTACTGGCCCGTTATACTCGCGTCAACACTGACGGTCGGTTAAGCGCACAGCATACACGCGTACGTACACACAGAGCTTTCAAGAGTAACAGGTCTACGTGGCCGCAACAGACAACCCCGCACGTGACGGCATACATCTATCACATTGTACATTAGTTCTGTGTCATCGCATTACTTTCATTGCTAACAACAATTTGGGTAAAACAGGCTGAGCACTGCTCTAAGTCTGTTTAGTAGTCGCTGGTCTCCGACAAGACCAAAACGTTGTTTTGCGGCCGTTCCTATACCTTCTTCGGTTTCGTTCGGTTTCCTGTCTTCATGTTTGCAGTGACACACATCAAAGCGGCCTTGTACAGGAGAGCGGAAGGACAACTTTCGGAATCATTGGCCAGAGGTGTACGTACCAGTTATAGTTCAACGCGGGCACGCACACTCACGGAGCGTGTCGTGTTTTCTGTCGAGCGTCAGCCCTGAAAGGAACGTGTCGACCATCTGGTTTCGTTAGTTTAGCAGCTATTCCCGCCGCTGTTCTGTTGAAGTCTCTGTCAGGTGGGCACGATATACAACTCCCATTCCCTGCGGTGCTCAACACAACCAATCCCTCCATCTTGCAGTAGAGAGTGGATACAGGAGAAAGGAGCAACGTCTCAAGACTTGGATTGAAGAATCTCCCATAGCTGCAGATCAGACCGCTAGCAACGTTACTTGGACAGAGTGTTCCTTAGCTGTGTCATATTATCACGAGGATCTACCACTGAACCCCGATCATCACAAGAGCTCATAAAGGTAGGATCCTCTCAGCTCTGTTAATTAATTACGCTATTGTAAGCTGATAGTCTCTGCGTAACCTAAACCTTTGGATTTGGTGCCGATTTTGGGCTCGCTTTTGCCAAGGGGTGCATTACATTCGATTGCCCCGGGCGATTTACATGATATGGGGAAGTGTGCAATGGCGTTTAATGCGTCTGCTCTCGACAACAGCATGAATTTGTTGATAAGACGTGTGGTGATTACGGCGAGAGCGTGAAGTATGGCTCCGGCTCATACATTGTATGTTTCATCACGTTGCTTGACAGTACCATGGGAGTTCGATGCGAGCAATGAGTGACATTGCTCACATCTGTGTACTAGTACTACAGTGCTAGCAGCTGAAATCCGACCCCCTGAGCGATGCTCTCACATCGCAACGTATGTGAACCCACCGCTCAGTGAGTCGGATTTCAGTTGCCAGCACTGCAGTTCATAGGTTATACATGTATGTTGGTACTGTCCCGGGAATGGTTCAATCTTCTCACGGTTACAATGATATCAGTCACGTGACACTGACTATAATGTGCTATCCTCAGTGTATCGTTCCTTGAACACGGGACCAAAGACTGAACAAATCTGCACCTTATCTCCACAGTACTGGGCCTCCATGCTGCAGTGCTGGCAACTGAAATCCGACCCCCTGAGAAGTGAGACATATAAACTTTGTCTGAAGGTCATCACTCCCCGTGATCAGCCGCAGCAGTGCCCCGGTGACTGTGTTTGATAGACATTTCGACTGAATATCGGCCAACGACAGATTTCTCCCTGGCCATGCTTGCTGCTTTGCTTGAGAAGAGGCTGATGCGACAAGAGGGGATAGTTCATTCTGGGCGGTATTCAGCACAACTTCTTGGCACACGTCTGCGAAGAGCACTTGCTACGTGTTCACCGATCATGGTGCACCAGCGTGGCAGCTATCATTAAGACCTCTGCAGGGCAGAGTCATCACGTCTTTTTCGCCTCTGGGTATTGTCATCGGAATGCCGTCGTGTCAAATTAGCATCCCTTCAATGTCAGGAGAGCATCTGGAAAGACCCGTTCCAAGCAAGCGGGAGAATGCGCACCAGTGATGTTCCTTTTTAGAATGTACATGTACATGTACATGTACATGTTCACTGTACGTGTACGGCGGCGTGACTAACGTTATCCTGTCAATGTTCGTTACCCGCTACCCACATGCTGAGCATCATGTTTTCGACACTGAAATTCTGTGGAAGATTCCCACCGAGCCATGCATCAGTATCTTTGGCTCACTACAGTAAAACCTGTGACTAACGACCACCCCTGGTTGGGGCCAGAGAAAGCGGTCTTTAGTGGCAGGTGGTCGTTAGTTAAAGGTTTTCACCGCACAACCATAATAATTATTATGAATGTGAGACCGTCCGTGCCTGGCGAAGTGGTCTGCAGTACCAGGCTGGTCGCTAGTCACGGTGGTCTGTAGTACCAGGCTGGTCGCTAGTCACGGTGGTATGTAGTACCAGGCTGGTCGCTAGTCACGGTGGTCTTTTAGTTACAGGTTTTTACTGTATATACAGTCCCTGTGTAAGCCGTTAGCATTTAGCTGGTACCTGGTCTTCATCAGTAACGATGAAAGTTTTTCAAAGGATTATTCCATTCAGAAATCCACAGCTATCTGGAGCGGGTAGCCGGCACTACATGTATACGATAATAGTCCGCCTTGCGTGCCTAATAAAGTCAAGGTTCACGTTTGTCCCTGGACATTCTCTCGTGAGATTCTAGTCTTGGCAGCCATTATACAATTTGAAGATATCGACATTGTACGTGTGATGTTAATTTCATCGTTCTGAAGAACAGATTGGCAATGAAATGCATCGTACGGCGATACGATGTTTGCTATTTTTACTGATCCCTCATAAGAGTCATAACGTCTCTGTAAATAAGCAACACGATTGTTCAGGTAAAGCGGTTTCGCAATTGCTCGTGTTGTACCTACTCTTCAAAAGTGACGCTGACGACCTCAAGTTATGGACGAGCATTCCATCCGCAGATTTACACCTTGTACCGGCTGTCGCAAGAGATGTCTGTGAAGGTCTAAACTGGTCCGCACCGCAGCTAGTGAAGGAGACGTCCAATTATTTTCTCCTTGGACATTGCCCTCATGAGGGTCTTGACATGGCAACCAATCTTCAATTTGTATTATTGACTTGTGGTAAAAGGTTTGGAGAATTTCTGGACAAGTTTGCCTTCCGCGGGATTACGTTTGTAACAGCAATCGAAAAGAAACTGATGGCGTCGTCTGAGGTGGACAGACAAAAGAATCTAAACATCTCCTGGCTGGCAAATGTGTGCACATCCCATTAGTTCTTAATCAAACCCCTACGGCTCGAAGAGTGTAACATTGCGTGTAGCAGAGATCTCACGGCGCCGGTGATTAATCACCTCAACACACTGGCTAGCTCGTTGGAGCCCTTATACTTAGTCTGAGCAGGCACCATCTATTACGTGCATGTACATGTATGTTGAACCCGAATAACATACGAATGGTTATTAATCGTGTATGACCTATATTAGGCAACTTGTTCCTAAACACCGACAGGTCCCAAGCGGAACACGACGACTAGAAACGGTAATGGCTGTGGAAGCCTATCAGGCACAGCGCACAATGGCAACCCTCGAACAGCGGAAATCAGAATGCTCGTCAAGCGGCCATGGAGCCTGCCTGGCCAGGCCACTGGAACGAAAAACTCACATTGGCAGTGTCCCTACCAATGTCAACTACAACAACTTTGCTCGTCAAAGCTCTTTTGAAATAGATACAGGAGAGGCGAGCTCACACTCCTGTGTGGCAGCTTCCCCTTGTCTCATCCCCAACACGAAGTACAGCCGCCATTCTGACCCGAACAGAAAGGAAACAAAAACTAGATACCCACCAATGGAACGGCGGCGAGGTGTAGCTACATATTTAGACATGCTAGTTCCCGTTCCAAGTTTCGCAGGGTGCAACTACATGTACATTGACTGTACTTCTACAAACGGAAACAATAACAGAGATACAGAATTATGTACTTGCACGCCAGGGATGTTGTTCGCTTCAAAAGATCATGATTGTGCAATGTCATGTAGATAGCTCTAGAGCAGTATGTTATGTACATTGTACAGTCTTTGTGCTCCGCCCGTACGAGTAGCATAGCCAGTGGCTGGCAATGCCGCGTATGTAGGACAATCCTAAGGCTAAGCTTAGGATAACCATGCATGTGGTACAGTATGTACGTTTTGTCTACCGTCTTCTCACTTGCATGGTATTCTGGCGCTTGGCATTAATTAAACGCAGTTCTCTATTGAATCGAATTCTGCAGTTTACTTGTTATCTAGGAAATCTATTAGCGGACTACTAGTGCCGAGACTGGCCATGAAATAATAATTATGGTACGTTTGAATACGTTTTTGGTGTGATCGGATCTACGGATAATATTATGCTTTGCCTCAGGCAGGCTTCAATGGAACATCTGATGATCTGGTACATTATGTGAAGGTGTCACATTGGCTATATCCCACCTAGAACGTGCCTGTGGAAGGCCATTGCGGCTGGACTTCTGTTTTTGCTTGTTTCACGCCGGTCACACAGTGAGACCATCCACGCATTGCACCTCGTAGAATGCGGCAATGACACCCAACACTACCTCGTAGTTCAAATTAAATTTAAAATGTTCTTTCCAAAGACCAAAGTGTCACAATAATGCTCGGTTACACGGCACAATGACGTCCTGACGTGGTAACCTTGCCAGTACAAGTACAATGTCATGTACCTAGTATAGAATCTAAGGTTTCACTGTTCAATTAGATCGTGTTATAGAGGCTCTAAGTCTAAGAAAACCAACACGACTTCTCTCACGACACGTGCCATTAGATGCCATTGCGCGCTGATCGCACTAGTGCGGCTGTCTTGTTTTGCGTGTACAATGTGAGAATTCGATACCCAGGAGGCGATGGGGCGTTGCAACATCCCTCATGACACTTCTTAAAGGTCTCGGCGTTCCCTGTCTACATTCTGTGGTACTGACTGCGACCAAATCGATTCATTGGGTGTCGGATCGCGTGATAACGACGCGTTGAAAGTTCCGCGGTCCACCTGATTGCCTGGGATGACGGACGGACTCCATGCATCGCGCTGCACGTTCAACGATGATTTCCCGTTGGACGTGAATCATTAATTTGGAGCACTGAGGGTGAACATCGGTACGGCAGGTGGAATTATCGTGAACCTTTGACGTTTCCATCAGGTTGGGACACACGGAAGAGAGTAAGAAACGTACCCTATGACCGCACAGCAAACTAATACCATGCCGAATCTACAGTATAACAGTACGAGGTAGCGGTAGTGGTAGCGACACCTTTCCATGCACAGCATAATACTAGCAAACTCAGTGTGAGAATGAAGTTGAAGACACCACTGCAGCCGTACTTATGGTTGATAAATATGGTGGTAAAGACACACCGTGTGGGCAGGCGTGTGTTTACCGCCATATTGCCGGGTGTGTCTTTACCACCATATTTATAAACTCGGTGTGCGTCAAGCACTGCGCAGAAACTAACGCACCGTAGACTCTGCCATGTGCGCGTGTACAATCAATGTACCGTACATGTCGATGTCTACACTGCAGCAAGCGGTAGAAAACTCGGTACAGTCTATGCTGCAATAGACCAATCCCGAAAAGATTGTCTGGGTTCGAAAGGGGGCATGTCACCTGAGAGTACACTGTACAACACATACATGGCACTACCCGATCAGCATGCAGCACAGGATGTGTTTGATAGTTTGCGTGTGAATGCGGGGGTAAGTACACGGTTTTCTCGTTAGTTGCATGCAAGAGAGACGATCCGACAGAAAGCAAATATTTGTGTGGGTTTCTCCCTCGCACTGATAATGTTCTGCTGTTGGAGTCGAAGTGCTAAGCCATAATCCTTGTTTCGCTCTTCTGTGTAGTGTGAAGAGGTCAACGTACATGTGGAGCTCACTTTGAAGAAGTAGGCAAGGCTGTGAGCGCTGTGGCTCAAAGCGATAGGCCCTAAATCGCACGAGATATTTCGAGCGCCATTGTTTGTTGCGAGCGCTTCGTCTTCGATGAGTCTTGCCTCTTTCCTGTCAGGTTTCCTCCAACAGGACCAAGCACGAAGTGACTGTACTCATCTGCAGCCGATCAATGTTCTACTGCGCAAGAAGATTGCGTTTTCGCCAAGCCAGTGCTCCGCCAAAGACCATCGCCATGTCACAACGTCGGAACGCGGTCATGATGAGAATCATCATTCGCGCGAGCTTGATGAAGAACTATTTCGAAACACAAGATAGTCTCTACCTCCGGGACGACAACTATGCGCCGGTCCTGGAAGGGGAGAATGTCTTCTGCGATAAGAGCGAAGACGACGGCGGTATTTCGGCAACCTGGAGTCAGCGGAGTTCGTCAAGCTCTTCCGCCTCCGCGATCCGGTACATGTGCAGTAGGTGACATGTCGACACGAGCGTGCGGGAACACAGCATACACCGACTGTTGCGAGAGTTTGCGGAAGGAGTCCAAGTCGGGAAATCCATGAGCTCCAAAAGCTACCTGTAGGTGGGCGATGAGACTCCAGCTTCAGACTATAACAGTCAGGACTTGTAAATAGTTGAACTTTGTGAAGCAGCAGATCGAGAAGTTAGTTGAAATCGTAGCTGTTGCAGTATGTCGGCGCTATGTAGCTTGTATTTTTTACGGAGAGTCGATCACCACGCGAATGTTTCTCTCCTCATCGAGAGCTAGCTGGCCTCCAAACTCCGTCAGGGTCTGCCTAAGGTACCGAAGGTCCTTTGACTAGCTGCTGGCAGGACTCCATCAAATCCTTTAGCTTCAGCTCGGCGAGCAAAAGTCTCTCTCTCCTCCGCCATGAGCTGACACACACAAACTGAATACAAAACGATGCACTTCACACGAGCTGGCTTGCACGCGTGCCCCCTTTCACGAACCCAGACAATCTTTTCGGGATTGGTCTATTCAGTGTAATTATTTACATGTGCATGACTTGTAACCCTGGAAGGTTGTGGGTAAAGAGAGCCACTACTAATGCGAATCATGTAAATGTATGTGTACATGTACGTACACACAACAGGATTTCATCCAGCAAAAATATTCTATTGCAACATAATAATGTACGACCGCAGATACATGTAGAGACTGTGGACCACCAAGCTCTGCCCATACTACTGCCCTATAGCTGCTGTGGTGAGAAACACGACATACATGTACATGTACGGTCGACGTTATTTCACAACCATTGGCAATGGTCACAAGAAGCAGCAGGGAATTTGCTCAGCAGCAGTGAGACAGCATTCCTTCCTAATGGAGTAATGCGTTTAGTGCCCGCCTGCGCTTTGCCAGCGCAATCAGATGCGCCCCGGCTATGGTAAAGTATGTGTCACAACCGAAGGATAAAGGGTGAGAACACCAGCTGTTAGAAATACTCTGAGACGTGGTTTTGTCACACACGAATAGGATCATAATATTCTCAACTGCCGCAGTGACCTCGACTTGGAAAGGTATTAAAGAGCGATAGAATTATCACGTGGGCCCTTCAGTCGATCTACTACAACTAGTACCCGCTTCTCCATTGTCTTAGTCAACACACCAGTCGCATTAGCATCGCTGAGAGGCAGAGAAGACTTGCTCGGTTCCAGCTCCCACTATCCTAGGGCTGCTGATAAACCCTACGCTGACCATTTTTGAGTTGCACGCCCAATTGATGGTCAGCTGGTTTCTTGGCCAGTTTATCGATAGCGTGATTGAGGCTGAAACCACGGTGTTTTCTCGAGAGTTCTTCTGCCCGTCTTCAACTCTATCCGGTGCCTTCTAAAAAGGTACATGGGCTACAGTCCACATGACTGTAGTGCAATGTACATGATTGTATGTTTCTATGGATTACCGTGTCAAGCCAGAACCCAGATTACCACAATAACATTACAATGATTTCCTTTGTCTCTGTGGAAAGTAGTTGGGTGGACACACCCATTCCCAAAGCACGAATGACACAACCCAACTCATTGTTTCGTTCGTGCCTGACGATGGTGATATTGCTGAAACGTTATACAGTAAGAATTGGTTCGGTTTGCAGTGCTGTGGGAATGGGTGTGTCCACTCAACTACTGTTTACAGGTGAAGCTGGAAGATGCCTCGAAATTACTTTTCTTTGTTTCGTTCTTGATTTGAAGCCTCTACCGACCCGTTACAGGAACACCAGAATTCCATCATACCTAAAACCGCGGGAGAACGCGCAAACAAACAAACAAAACAGCAAGGTGTGGAAGAGTAATGCCATTATTTTAACAGGGGCTGATCTAGGAGGGGTTCCGCTGAACCCCCTAAATTTCGTAAATGTACCACTGGCAACCATATGCGTGTCTATGTACATGTATCAGCTATTCAGTTTTAAACTGTACTGTAACCCCCTGTAGAGATCGCTGCGTTATGTGAGCTGTTTCTTCATGTCTGTGTGTGGGTGTGTGTGTTGTGCATCTTGTGACTGTGTTGGCTGCAGACCGTGCGCGGAGCGTCAAGATGGCTGACGGAAGATGTTTGACAGGCAGGGTCATGGAATTGATGGTATGGGCACTTCTGTGTCTCACCTGCGTATCAGCAGAGACACTCAGTAAGTACATATGAACTGAATCAATACACACTAGCCATCATCAAACTATGCTTTATATTGGCCGCTTCCCACTGAATATGTAACTTATAAACTCTTTCTGGACTTCACATTGTCCCAATCTTCAGTATAATGTCTCAGTACTCTTATTCAGTTTTCTTGAAAAAAGGTGCACATCTGACTGTTCAATATTTTGGCCTAGCTGGTGGACTTCAACGCGTAACTTGTGCCCCACTATTTCCCTCATTGTTCATCTTGACCACAGGTCCACTGGCGTCCGCGTTCCGCATCATGGTCGTGCCATCCGACCTGGATCGCAGTATTCAGGTAGTCAAGCCCAATCAGAAGGTGGCCGTACAGCGGAACAGCTCGTTCGACTTGTCATGCTACACGTCTGCGCAGACACTGGACGTCACGTTCAAGAAGTGGCTGCCCACCTTCAACGTGTCGCAGATCGAGATGGCCTGGTTTCGCGACGGCCGACCGTTCCACCGCTCACCCAATGCCCTGGTGACCGGCTGGCTGAACGACGAGCTTCGCGAGGATTATCAGATCCATTTCGACCAGTTCACTGCCCAGGACGGGGGAGACTACGAGTGTCATGTCACGCTCGGTCCCTTCAAGCTTACCATCAACGCCACCATAGGCTGTGAGTAACTTTCGTATTCGTATTCTTTGTTTCTTTCGCTGTTTAGTAGTACATTGCACGACGCACCGGATGTCGAGTTACATTTTCACCGTAAAGGCTCTGCACGTGGCCTGTCGGGGCATGATAGCTGAAGCCCAATTAGGAGTGGCAGTTTGATTGGCACCTCTCAACCACAACATGTTCCTAGAATTCCTGCTTATGCCCAGGGAGGCAAGGACAAGCAATATTTCAAAAACGCAGAAAAGAGTGAAGCATTATGTTTTGCTCCCTGGCTTGGATTTTTTTTACTACAAAGCACTGGCCAGCAACATAAAAGGGGAGGTAGACAAAATTGGACAAGCGAACATTGACATCACAGATTGGTTTTGTTTGCGTGTATCGCACTTGAGCAGAATGCACTAGAGCTCGTTGTGAAATCCTTTTAAAAAAGCTTCTTGCTCCATTGAAGTGAGAATCTTCGATAATTATCATCTTCAAGACACAGTGCAAAAAGTGACCTTTCTTTTCCTTGCTAAGTGCTAACTAATACTTGTCGATACATCATGTGACCATAGTGTACGATTACTACTCTGTCTCTCTGTGCTGCTCAGTGGCGCCATATTTGGTAATGAAGCCGGCACCCTATGAGTACGCCGCCAAGGGATCCAATCTGGCATTGCAGTGTCAGGCGTTCGGGTATCCGCAACCGCAGGTCAGCTGGTGGAACATGAAAACGAACCAGGTTGTGGCCAAGCACAACCATCTGTTCGTGCTGAATCTGCGCAGAAAGCACAGCGGGATGTACAAATGCGTAGCGAGGAACTCCGTGGGAGAAACTTCGGCAGTAACCAGCCTCACAGTTACTGGTAAGCAGAAGAAAAGTATAGGAATCTGTGACTGTAATCAAATAACTGTTTTTTGGACATTAATTTTGTCATTGGAAAATTGGAACCTTGCATGACCTTCATTGTATACATGTACATGTACATGTACATGTATGTCCATGCACGGCTCATATGCTAAAGATGGTAGACAGTGGGTCCATTGTTATAATATTAGGCATCTGCCTGTTTTTGGTTTTTCCACTATAAATAAAAGAATACAGCTGTACTACTATAGTCCAGCGAGTTTATTATAAATCACTCGTTTCAGTAATCAAAGAAATACAAGACCTAAAAAGATGGATTCTACGAGGCTTCCAATATTATTGTTTCCTGCCTTGCTCAAAAGCATGGTCGACAAGTGGTAGAAAGAAAAAATAGCAAAATGTATGCGCCGTCCGGGAATCGAACCCGAGTCGCAAGAATGGGAATCTTGCATGATACCACTACACCAACGGCGCCTGTACGTACCTTTGCAAGACTAGTATCGTAAAGTTGATGCAGTCCGTCCACACACTCCAAATATGGTGTTGCACAAACCGCAGGAAATTGAACACTTGATTGACAAAGTACATGTGTACCGACCGGTACATACTGATACTATCGCTTTTTTTTTTTACGGGGTAACGGCCGCTTTTACGGGCAAAATAAACTTTAATAAAGTCATGTAGACGTGAAAAAATTGAGATACCATGAAAGTTAAAATATCGCTTTCTTTGCCTACATAATTCGTACATTGTACATGTAAATATGCGATAATTCTAAATTGGCAGATCCTGTGCTGGTGCATACTACGAAGATCGATGAGGCCAAAATGGGTACATGCACATGTTGTCTATACTACAATGTATACCGGTACACATGTATGCTAGATCGTTCAGCTAGCTAGCCATGCACCATACGTTTAGCTCCCTCGGTATTAGACTCATTAGAGTTGGACTGTTTTCACAGCCATATTAGCTCCCTCCCTCCATTTCAGCTCATTTTCTTCCTGTTGAGGTTGCACTTGTGTTTATTTTGCCCGCACATGAGGTACACTGCCACTGGAAAGAAAAGGCTTTTTCAGGTGCACTGTTGGCCTGATAGGGTGATTGCATTACTGGATCACAGTGTGATCATATATGGCTTCACTGCGACTTTCTCTATATAACTCCAGGTCATTCTCTATATAACTCCAGGTCATTCTCTATATAACTCCAGGTCATTCTCTATATAACTCCAGGTCATTCTTATTATAACTCCAGGTCATTCTCAATATAACTCCAGACGCGACTTTCCCTATATATCTCCGCTCAAGTTGAGACTTTCTCTCCCCGAGTCTGTATGACTCCAACTCAGGTTTTGTATGGAGAAGTTGTCAATCCGAGTTGGAGTCATACAGAGAAAGTCTCAACCTGAGTGGAGATATTATAGGGAAAGTCGCATCTGGAGTTCTGGGCTTTCTGGCACGAAGTAAACAGGTGATGACATATACATGTAGAGGAGTGAACACATGTAGAGAGCTGGTGGACTACTGAGTGCTACATATATATTAGGGAGGTTTCGCTCTACGGAATTACGTATGAAAATAACGTATGAACTGCACGGAATTTTCATACGTAAAAATCAGAGCTGTTGGGTTTCGCTCTACGTGATTTCTCCACGACTGCTAAACATGCGTTGTTGCTTTGGAGACGCGTTGGCTGCATGCGCCCACCGTATGCACCATGAACCGAAACCGCGTTTTCTATTATATTTTGCACGTGGTGTACGGTGTGTGTACCTTGTGTTTCGCGCGGCTTGAATATTGCCATGGACAAATGCGGAAAAAGCGAAAATTATTTCAAAAAGTCCTACGGAGGACCCAACGTAGGATCCTAGGAAAGAGCTTTCCCACGGAAATCCGTAGAGAGATTTACGTATGAAAGTTGCCCTCGCTCCCCGGCGCGTACGACATACGGATTTTCATACGTAATTACGTAGAGCGAAACCTCCCTAATAGCAGAGCATACGGAAACTAGTCGCAGACAGAAGATATACATGTACATGTACATACTAGTAGCCTCAAGTCAGACTTGGCAACTTCACGCCTGCACCGGACTCGCGCGCTATGATTCCCCTCAGCATTTCTCGCCTTGCTCCCCTTAAAAAAACTGTAGACTTAGGGCATGTTCGATTGGTAAGGATCGGGATCGAGCTCCAGATCTCAGATCCGTCGGATCCTTCAGAGTTAACTGGACACTTTTTTTGGGCCTTGACTGTTGCCATGTTGAGGAAGTAATAAAAAGTCGTACTCCCCGCGCCAGTTGTACAAAAGTCAGCAAGCTCTATCTCGATCCACGTGTGTGTGCCACAATGTGTACAAAAACGATTTTTACCCGCCATATACGCACAAAGGTCACATGTGGATCCGTTGGATCCGGTCAACCCTGCTCCCCGAGGTGGGTTGACCGGATCCGAATCCGAAGGATCCGGATCCTGATTCGACCAATCGAAAGGGTGCGAATCCAGTGGATCCGGTGGATCGGGATCCCGATCCTACCAATCGAACATGCCCCAAGTGAAGAAGATACACAAATTTTATGATTATATTTGCCAAAAAGTATGCGCCGTCCGGGAATCGAACCCGAGTCGCAAGAATGGGAATCTTGCATGATACCACTACACCAACGGCGCCTGTGGGAGATTATGCAGGATGTACCCTGATGAGCTTTACGTGGGCTATGCTAGCAAAACCTCTAAATGAGACAGTGAAGAGAACAATGAAGCGTACATATTGACAGATCATCCATCACGATTCCCATAGATTAGAATTCAAGAAGATCTCATACCGAAGTATTTCCCTAGTTTAAAACGGAGACTGCCTCGATTTAGGCTAAGGCCTGTGGAGAATCCATAAATTATTTAAAATACAATTTTTTTTTATGAAGTTGGTTGCTCCAACGAGGAGCACACGCTTCTTGCCGACACTTGACTGACTCACGACTGCCATCCGGAGCACACCAGGAGCACGTCGCGCTGGAAACAAAGCGTCTCTGTAAGTTTGTATTCCTGGTGATGGTTTGGCCTGGAGAGCAGTATATAAGTGGTGCTTTTCAGGCACAATCTTCCTCAGCCTACTCAAGCTCAACTGATGAGGGGTGAATTCCCCGAAACACTGTGTATTGAGCAGGGAGTGCTGCTTTCTTTCAGGTTTGCCGAGCGGAAGGTGCGACGTGCTCCTGGTGTGCTCCGGATGGCAGTCGTGAGTCAGTCAAGTGTCAAGTTCGGCAAGAAGCGTGTGCTCCTCGTTGGAGCAACCAACTTCATGACATTACCGCCGAAGTCGCAACTTCTAAGTTCGAATTTTTTTTTTTTTTTTTTAATACAAATACAAAAATACAAATACAAACCTTCGAGACCCTAATGATCAGAGCTTGTACATGAATCTTCTTACCTACAAAATGCACATGTACTTGCACCCCCCCCCCCCCTACCCCATTCTTCTACTTCAAGTAGTGCAGTCTGAACCGCTGTCTCTTACATGTACCCCTTGGTGATTCTACTAATCTTCTTGTTGCTGAGCAGAGCGTCTTTGCTCGTTTGGCAATAATCGCTAATTGCGATGCACAATCAAACCAACACCAACACCAACACATTAATTTTCATGACCTTTCATCTTGGCGGAAAGGAGAGAGCAAATTTCGGTCTTTGTTCCTGCGGGACATCACGAGAGTTGCCATAACGTTTACGTGTACACCCAGAATAACCCAAATGGTGAACGTCTAAAGAAAAAATAGACTTTCACCACGAGACCTCGAACCCGAGACCCTGGCTTTCGGCCAGTAATGCTCCAACCACTAATCTATGGTGCAGCGATCATTGTAACATGAAGCATTTTTCAGATACTTTTCACGGTTGATGATTTTAATGATGAATAATGATGATGATCTTGGCCTAACTTTCGTATTTTCATCTACGTTCTGCAGAACCGCTTAGATGGATAGGGAAATCAGCAGTACTGCTTTTCATGTTTGATGTTGATCCTTTCCTAACTTTCCTATTTTCATCTACATGACTTGTATGTTCTGCAGAACCGCTTAGATGGGTAGGGAAATCAGCACCAATAGTCTCTAGCAAGCTAGGAGACCTGGCTGCGTTGGAATGTCATGCTAAGGGATTCCCATCACCAAGCGTACAGTGGACATTCACGCCAACATTGAGCTGCTCAAACGATGCTCAGCAGCAGCAGCAGCCGGAGCTGGTCAAGCCCCAGGCGATACCCTTGAACGCCACTGGTTGGCGCCTGGCGATCTCTCAAGTCACCAAACGTGATTTGGGGGTCTACAAATGCGTTGTGGAGAGTCGCCCGACATGTTGTCCCACTGTTACGGCCCAGCCTGCACTGCAGATGAAGACGTGTCTCAGTATAGATCCCGCAGGTATGTTGGCATGCACTGAAAACGTTCAAAATTGGAAGTTAATAGAAGTCAGAAAATCTAGGTAGATTAGTTTAGATGGCAAGGCTCTCTCTGCAACATTGCAATGCACATGTTCAGATCTGTGACTTCTTGACTTGGTGCCATTGGTGCAAGAAAAGCACTTTTATTCGCTCGGATTTGCGCTAGTTCAACATTGATGTATTGTGGTGTTGGAGTTGAACAGAGGACAAAAAAGCTTGATATTAGATATTACTAGTGCCTGCACGTACATGTACATGTATTTAATAGAGAGCGTGATGTCCATTCGTCATAAAATATAAAACACAAGATTTTCTCATCTTTTTCTATTTCTTGTTTTTCATTAGCTTTAGCATGTTCATTCACATTCTTCATCATTTGTGAGAACTAGACCTGGTCTAGTGAGAAGGCATTCTACTGCCTGTAATTCTGGTGAAGTAAAATAAAGAAACAACAACAACAACAACAACAACAACAACAACAGCAACAACATTCGGAACCTATTGTGACTTACAAAAAGCGAAGCAGTCATGAGCAGTTTGCCCTTCTTGCCACGCAACGCATACGCCAGAGGCATGCAAGTTAGGGACCAGTGGATTCTGCTCGAAAAGGTGGCAGATTCTGCTCGAAGAGCAGTGAAATTGGCAGAACCATACAAACCTTATTGCGGGAAATTCCTCGAATTCTGCTCCATTTCTTTATCCACATACTAAACATGCATGAAACTTACCAGAAAAAGCACCGAATTCTGCCAATTTTTTGCCGGCAGAATCCGCCGGACCCTAATGCAAGTCTCTCCATCAAGGCCAAACGCGATGAGCTTTATTGATTCCCATGCCTTATAAACACAGTGAATAGGTGATGTGATTTGGCCTAGATTACCAAAAATATCCGAAGTGAATACGTGTATTTTTATTGTCTTGTGTCCATGGTAATGCTGCCACTACAACTGTTTGTACCAAAGCCGCACTGGATGGGATCAGATGGAGTGTTTCTTTTCAATGAAGCAATTCCACCTCCACGACATGCGCTCTCTGACCGACCTCATGACACCAGCAACATGACTCCAAGTTGTACTTGAAGTAGATACTGACAAAATAACATTTCCTCCATATCGCGCTGTTTCGACCATTAAGGTCTCATCACTGAACGTTGTTTCTTTTCACACCTTTTTTTGCTCTTTGCTTGCAGCAGTCGGTAGTGGTGAGGTACACAAGGATAACGCACTTGCAACTGGCCCGACGCAGAGCATCTCGGGTCTGGACTATTCGTCTGCAGCTCACCATGACAGCTATGGTACCACAGTGTTGATTCTCACACTCAGTATGTGCACAGTTGTCTGGACAATGCTCAGATGAGGGTGCTGACGTTGACCCGTAAAGCTAGACAAATAGCTTTCTTGTTGTGTGGTCAACGAATCCAATGACCAGAAGCAACTACAGTGGAACCTGTCTCTAAGACGACCGCTCATGGGAACTTCAAAACGTGGTCTCTGTTGCCAGGTGATCTCCTTAGCCAGGGTCATTTCACTGGAAATAACATCCCATGGTCCTGATTACAGTGGTCTTCTAGGACAGGTGATCGCCTTATCCGAGTGGTCGCCTTGACAGGTTCTACATGTGCATGTATTGTAAACGTGGCTTTGACAGAACTCTAACACACCCAAACATTCAGACCCTTCGCCGAAGGAATTGAGTATACCATAATTTTATCATTAATTTTGATACACTATTAAATTTTCTAACTGTGCGACTCCCATTCAAAATGGCCGCCAAGTACCTGTACATGTAATTTACTGCAACAACGCAAGTTGCGGATTGTTCAATTTTGTAAATAATGCATTGTATACTACTATGCTATGCCTTATGATGTACAAGTACATGTATGACTATGGGCACATGTACAAAGTCATGTTCATTTTGCTAAAATAAATTTGACAACAGCATGTTTGGTCTTTCTGTCAGCATTTTGACAGCATGAGCCACGCAGAGTTTTGAGGGCTAAAATACAGTATTCACGCACTCAGCAATAATGTCATGTACTTGTACATGTGTTTGCCACACTCGAAAATTAATTCGCTAATCATGCATGTGTTGCTGAAGTGAAGATGGCTTTGCTTCGAGGAGCAATTACTTGAATTAGCATGCGAAAGGCCACGGCATGGGTACATGTACATGTACGTGCGCGCGTGTGTGTGTGAGCATGTGTTTACGCTTGTGTGAGGGTGTTCTTTGAGGGTCTTCGGGCGCGTATGAGTCTACATGTATAATGTACACAATACATACACTTGTACGTCAAAGTCGTCATGTACATGTACAATATCCCCACTGTCCCAGCTCTGCCTTCCACAATCCATGCACAAACAAACGACTTTGTAAAGCGGCAGTGGTGACTGGATGCAGTCCAACCTTTCTGTCTGCTAATCTGTACTTGTGCTGGGTTTTTTCTTCTACAATGACATGTGCTCGCTGTCTGACAGTGACTCAGACAAGAATGACAACCCCTCGCGCTCTGGGTGGGGGATTATTGCACCGTCTGAACTGAGGTTTTCAAGACCCTGGAGACACGAATGTAATGTACATGTGTACATGTACATGTATGCAGAGCCTGATGATGAACGAGTGGTATGGGCCGGTATACAAGTACATGATGTAACTAGCCTACTGTAGTGGGCTTGTGTTTACTACAGTTTAGTTTTGCCCAACTGCATTTAAACAAACGACAGTACAGTCGTCCCTCTCTAATCCGGCACTTTATAATCCAGCACCCTCGATAAACCAGCACAATTATTTTCAGTAGCCAAAATGTCCTCTTCATGCACATTGCAGCAGTAAATCCGATTTGTTAATCCAGCACCCTCCCTAATCCAGCAGAGTACCGTGGCACAAATGGTGCCGGATTATAGAGGGATCACTGTATAAGGTATCTCACAACAGACTAGTAGTTACATGATTGTACATTGTATAAAAGCTAATATATGTACAGTCGACCTACCCTTATAACGATATTTGCGTCAGACCAAGAAATATTGTTATAAGGGTAATATTGTTATAGGGGTAACTGGTTCATTTCATACACATACGTCATAATGCATGGATTTTGTTCATTTTTTACACTCTTTATAGCATAAAAAACTGACATACATGTACATGCACATTATGTACACAGCAAGGTGCCCACTGGTGCCCCCATTGCATTTCGTCATGTCCCAGCGACTTTATCAAGTGAAGCTTGCCCTACCTGGATAGTGGGCTCTACATCTTCCCTGCTAGATATTGTTATAAAATGGGAAATGTTGATTGGTCAGCCCATTTTTTATCGTTATAGGGGTAATATCGTTATAGCAATATTGTTATAAGGGTAGGGCATTGTATACAGAAGTCAATGGAGTGATTTGGTTTGGCAGAAAAATATCGTTATAAGGGTAATATCGTTATAGAGGTTATCGTTATAAGGGTAGGTCGACTGTAATATAATTATTATAACTGCGTGTCCCATGTTTTGTCCGACTGCTTTCGTGCTTCTTCTCCATTATTGGGATTGTATTCTGAGCGACTAGTGCATGTCACGGATTCCACACAATCCAGAGTGCGTGACACTTCTCACTGGCTGATTGCATTCCAAGACCGGAATGACCGGTGTGGCCTTTGTCTTTTCCCATCGAGAACACAGTGCAGGGCGTGCAGCACTTGAGTCCACGGATCGTCGTATCGATGGTCACTGGTCATTCAACATTCAACATTCAGCTGCTGCACAATGGGACGAATCTGGACTATGATCATGCTGTATGTTGTCCACTTCATGATATCGCACACATGCACAGACGTCCATGGCCCATGGGATTGGTTGAACATTTCATTGAATCTATCATTGACTTTTAAATTATCAGATATCAAATCATTGACAGTATTAATGAAAGAACACGTTGGTGACCAAGAAGTTTGTCCGGTGATAGTACATGAAGGTGGAGGAATGTGCTGCTGCCCAAACTTACTTACTTCAGCACTGACTAGCACTCGAGCTTTTTTTTTATATTTATTTTTTATGCTATGTGGAGCGATATAAGTATCATAATTATTATTATCATCGTTCTAGCTCATTTTTTCCCCTGTCATAGTCCTGTTTATCATGTTCAGCATAAGCGAAGTTGTGGATCATGCTTGCATGGTTGACTCCAACGCGTACATGCAAGTAATAATAATAATAATAATGTGGAGCTACATCAGTACATGTACACTACATCAGTACATGTAGTGTAGCACAGGACAATGTACTAGAAGTTAGTTGAAGTAAACCACGTACATGTACATGTACGAGATGGAAATTTGAAACATTTCTAATCCAAAGAAACTCAAGACAAATGTAACAAGGTTGTGTAAAAGATGCAACTCAATCCCTAGACGAATGCTTTGAAAGATGTAAAGTGTGCATGAATGCACGCTATACATGTACAGACAGTACAATCATACTGTCGCGGACATGGGAATCCAGTCGATTGACGGGGGCCGGCGCCCTCAGCTCAGCGCGTACAGAACGTAAGTCGTTGCATGGCAGTGCACATGTTGATCCGATGCGACCAGCAGTACAATCAGTCATGTATACATAATATGCTAGCAGTGCAAACGTGCTACGGCTGTATGGCCAGCGCCTTGGGGCCGCTAGACGTACATGTATAGATGTGCGACCGGATTTCCACGACAGTACATGTTGTTGTTGTTGTTGTTGAAATTTTATTTTGTATCGCAGACCAAACGGGCAGTGGTGCCCAATATTATGATGGCGATAAAGTAACGGCCGAGAGCCAAGGATACAACAAGCAAGCCTCCACGAAAGAGAGAAAAACACAGACAACACAGACTGCAAATACTCAAAAAGAAAAAGAGAAAGGGAAAAAAAGAAAAGAAAAAAAGAAGAAGAAGAAAGCACAGTTGAGTCACAGTTGAGTCACGACTCCAAGTCCAAGCCTAGATGCTGGCTAGCCATAAAAATAAACCTTTAAAAATCTCTTGAATGATCTGTGGCAGGCGAGGGACTTGAACTCTTGGGGCAGGGCGTTCCATAATCTAACAGGGGAAACGAGCGGCCGACAGTCACCAGAGACTCGCCTGGTGGCAGGGACAACATATGTCATATACATGTATGTACTGTACATACTGCGATCGTGTTGCTTTGATAAAAATTTAATCATACATGTACATGTAAATTTAATGTACATAATTCCCAACGACCGGCCACTGTATGTCCATCACAAATCCAACCACCCACCAATCATCATCCAGAACTTGCCCTCTTCCATCAGCCGACGACTAACGGACATATCAACGGATCAAGAGACATTCCAGGACGCATCTCAAATGTACAGCAATGCGCTCAGAGACAGCGGGTACAATGAGACCGTCCAGTTCTTGGAGGAACGGAAGAGTGGGAAAAGGAAGAAACAAAGGAAGAGACACCGGAATATCACATGGTTTAACCCACCGTTCAGTAAGAATGTGTCCACGAACATTGGTCAGCGATTCCTGCAACTCGTCAGCAAGCACTGCCACAAAGGTTGCAAATTATACAAGATATTTAACCGGAACACGCTAAAGTTCAGTTACAGTTGCATGCCAAATGTCGCCACCATCATCAAGCAACACCACAATAGTATCCTCCGCAGCGACCACCAGAATAAGACCAAGGATGTGAGACCCTGCAACTGCCGGGTCAAAAATGATTGCCCCTTGGAAGGAAACTGTCTAGCATCGAGCATTGTGTACAGGGCACACGTAACCGGCAGCGACATGAAGGAGTACACTGGATTAATGGAAGGGACATTCAAGACACGATTCAATGGTCATCAACATACTATTCGCCACAAGAAGCACGAGACCTCAACGAGACTGTCCAGACACATCTGGAGGCTGAAGGATGGAAACAAACCTTACAGTATCAGGTGGTCCGTTGTGAGGAGAGCTGCACCATACTCTAACATCTCGAAGCGCCGCAACCTGTGTCTGGCCGAGAAGCTGGAGATTGCCTGGGCCTACAAGACCCGCTCCCTCAACAATAGGTCAGAGCTTGTGTCCAAGTGTCGTCATGAAAACAAGTTCTACCTCTGTAACTTTGCGCGCAAGGTCAAGTGAATCTAGCTGGTAGTCCCGCTGCCAAGTGTGTGTGTGTGTGTGTGTGTGTGTCCCAGCACAAGTTGCTATGTCTAACATAGCTGTTCGCTATCATCGCTTCTGCGATGGGCAGGTCTGAGGTCTGAGGTGTGTGTGTGTGTGTGTGTGTGTGTGTGTGTGTGTGTGTGTGTGTGTGTGTGTGTGTGTGTGTGTGTGTGAGTGTGTGTGAGTGTGAGCGCGCATGTGTGTGTGTGTTTGTGTGCATTCGTGAGAAAGAGAGTGCGTGTGGGTGATTGGATACGTGCGGGTGCAAGTATGTGTGCGGTAGGTGTGAGAACGAAAGGATGGGTATTGTGGCCGTGTGTGAGTGTGTGTGTGAGAGAGAGAGAGAGAGAGACAGAATGTTTGTGTGAGATTTGGAGAATGTGTGTGTGTGTGTGTGTGTGTATGTAAGATTTAGAGAATGTGTGTGTGAGATTTGGAGAATGCGTGTGTGTGTGTGTGTGTGTGTGTGTGTGTGTGTGTGTGTGTGTGTGTGTGATATAGAGAATGAATGTGTGTGTGCATGTGTGTGCATGTGTGAGATATAGAGAATGAATGTGTGTGTGTGTGTGAGAGAGAGAGAGAGAGAGAGAGAGAGAGATTTAGAGAATGTGTGTGCGGACGCGCGTGTGAGTGTATGTGTATGTGAGAAAAGGGAGAGAGTGTGGGTGTATGGTTTTGTAGTGGTGTGGGCATGTGTGAATTTGGCATTTGTCCCCAGCTCTATTCTATATCATTCATGCCGGAACTACTGCTGCATAGCCCCAAGTCTGAAGACTTGGCAACTTCACGCCTGCACCTGACTCTTGCGCTATGATACGCGTCGCCTATGACACCCCTCGGAATTTCCCACCTTGCTCCCCCTTAGGTTCTGGCTGCCCGTTTTGGATCCATCAGTTGCCTGATGATCGTAGAGATACGTGAAACTCGGAGTTGTGACAAAGCTTCCAAACTCTCTCTTGTGTACATAATTATAGAGTCAGCGTGGAGAAATGCTGTCATAAAATGTTCTTTTTTGTACACAGTACCCTCAGTTCCGATAGTATTCACTGATGTGATGAGCGGAACACGAAAATCGATTTTGAATAACATAAAAATCCTTTAAAATTCCATAAACTCGTTGTTGTCTGGCCATGTCTGCATCTACATGTACATGTATTATACTCTTTATTGCATACATAATTATAATGATACTACAATGACTATGTACACGTATATGTACACGTAGGTCTAGACTACATACTAGTAATCATCATTGTAGATTCCTATACGCGAGGCGTCGGGATGGTGGCTTAGAAAAGGCGTCCTACTTCCCTGGCAACTGACGCTTGACGGATCATGCGATAGGTACAATTATGTACATGTACATGTAGATCTACTACTACTACTTACTAGATCTCCTACTGCCTGTTCAGTGGTTGACTGTCTGTACATCAGGGGTACTGTACTCTCTGATATAAACTAAGTAAGGGGTCGTCCATAAATATCGAAGTTTTTTCACAAAACGAAATAATTTCGTTATGGGGTGGGAGGGGGTTGACCAATTTCGTTTCAGAAAACATTGATACTTGTACATGGGGTAACATGGCTATAGGAGCAGTGACACACTTGCGACGTTTGCATGTATTATGTCAACATTTTTTACGTTCTGAGGGGGAGGGAGGGAGGGGTTGGGTCCAAACTAAAACAATTCGTTTGGTGAAAAAAGTTCAACTTCTAAAGACTTTAGTTTAGGTAAATTATCGCGTCCGTACCCGAAGGGAACTCACCGATATTATCAAGGACGTCACCAAGATAGCGACAGTGAGTAGGCTGAATCAGTGATAACATGTCATAACTGTCATAAATTCCAAAAATAAAGCAAGTGCATTGTCTGTGGAGCTCCTCTCTGGCGTACGAAATCGGAAATGTCATACTCAGATCTACACACAAAATGACTTGTTATCCTTGTCCGGCAGTGATCATGCTCAATGTGTTTTATTTCAGCGGAAGTAGCTATACTAGCCATTATGCATCAGGTCACTCTCCACCAAAGGTCCTTTCCTTTCCTTAGTAACTAAGTTACTTTACTGTCTTGTCTTGTACAACTACAACTAAAATCTAGACTAGGGCCCCAGCAGCGGATACTAGCATAATGCACACTGTAGGCTAGTGTAGCTGGGAGCTGTGTCGGCCTGTGAGCTTTGCTTGTGAAGTTGTGTGTTTTGACACTGAATCATTCTGATCATGCTTCCATCATTCAGTGTTTGCTGAGAAGAAGCTAAGCATAAAACTAGGAGTAGGAGAATGAGAGATTCTTGCGAAATCTTTATATGACCGGATGATACCTGTAGGCTGTACCTACACTACCGGTATGCACTCATTCATTCATTCAATAAAATTTAAAATATTCCAGCTGCGACATCATGGACAACCGCGCTTGCTACATAGTGCAGGTGCGATTTGTCCACCATGGTCGACAGGCGGTGACTTGCTGTTGCCAGCACTGTTGCCGTGTTGGATCCAGCTACATGTGCCGGTCTGTCTCTGTCCCCGAGGCGCTAGCTAGTCCCCAGTTATACCAGTATTACCACTGGCCCTACTCCGCTAGCTACTCAGCCGGTCTCCAACCAACCCGACTGCTACTGCTAGTTTTGGCAACCCAAATAAAAGGTATGCGCGATTTGTGCGTGGGCCTGTTGAGTGTTGTGCCTGTGATCGAGAGTCAAGTCACCAGCATAAGCAGGTAGATCTACATGTCAATACATGGGATCCGCGTGAGTCTAGTACATGTAGTACTAGTACTGTAGTAGTGAATGAAGTCTGTGCAACGGAAGTGCAGTGCTAGTGTGCATGCGATCACGCCTCACAAAGTGCTCCGTACCCTGCTACCCCGGCCGTCCTCCGTAGTGCAGTATAGTATACCTCGTGGCATATGTGACGGCCACTTTATCTTTTCTGAGCTCATTTTAGGTAGTAGGAGTCCTAGACCTAGATCTACCGTCCCTCGGCAGTCGACTGAGTCAGGGGAGAGACGAAAGGACAGCCCGGTGACGGCAGAGATAGCGTGAGCCTAAAACGCTTCAGTGTGAAGGAGCGTTTTGCTGGGAGTTCCATGGGATCACTGCCTGTCGAGGTTTACTTATCTGGTGCAGAGCGCTTTCATGAAAATCCTGTCACATTTTAGTGTCCCATCTCTTCGCCTCCTTGGCTGATTTCAGCATCCAGTCTGTTCGTAACGACCAGAAATCAGTTTCTCTACACGAGCAATACCGCTATCATTATGGCGAGCCGGTCGTCCTCTTGTTGGCCTATGGGCCTAGTGTGGGTATGGATGGCTTCTGTCTTGCTACATCACCAGGGAGCATTAGCTCAAGGTGAGTGGTGTGTTACCGAACGTGTGTGATTTCTCTGACATTTTGTTTGCTTTCCGTCACAAAAACATCAACTAGTAGATCTACTCTCCCTAGCTTTCTGCTTGTCTGTTTCCGTTCTCGTACATACTCCTATACTTTCTGTTGGCTTCGTTGTAACACAAACATATCCTGTCCAGGAGCCTGTGCATGCACCACATTACCCAGGGTGATCGTGTAGTTTGACCGGTGCGATATGTTGCGTACACCATCGTCGAGAACTAAGGTGTCTCTTTGACTCCCCACCACGTCAACGCACCATGCACCCGCGCCCTGTGTGAATCACTGGAAAGCCGTTCTTCCTTTCGACTTCGGACCAGATCTGAAATCTGTCCAGCGGATTTTTCCGGGCGCGTTTTATTTGGTCTGATCTTGCGAATATTCACTGGGTACATAATTATTATAATGACTGTGTACAGTCTTGGCTCGTGGCTGCAAGTAACTGGTATGCAGGTGCTTGCACAGGAGTCAGGACCTGACAACGCCTGTCACAAATCTGTTTCTTGCATACCTGTCGCTGTCATGTTCATCCGCGTGCATTCCTTGCCTCCTTTCGTAAACTAGTCGCTACTCTACGCTACTCCTCAGTGTGGATCCGCAATGGCAAGAAAATATTTTCACTTCCAACTCATAATTACTAGTATTCGCATCGTCCTGGCAGGACATATTTTAGCTGTTGTTGTAGGATTCGCTTGATCCAGTGTCGGTGAGTTCGACCAGAGCTCTGTCGTTTCATGGGCCTGAGTGGGTCGTGCCTTGATTTCGCGTGTTTGTCTTTCATTCACTACTGCAAAGAATGCTCGAGGAGTGCCGTGATTCTACTGATTGCGTGTGGGCCATATGGCCCGCCAGTTGCGCTTCGGAATCCGAAAAGAAGTGTGCGCTTGCCGTGGCTCGCTCAGCTGTTTTTCGTAGGCGGTACGATTCAAAAGGTCATCGGTTTTCCATGACAGGAGCGAGAGGCGTCGGCGTTCGATTTACTCGCCTTTCACGTCTCCCAGAAACTCCTTTTTTTATTTGTTGCGCCAGGCGCTCTCCCGTTGTGTGTCTTACCATGTTTGATTGATGTTGTGCTTTGGGTTTGGGGCTGTGTTGTACCTTGGCGATTGCAGTTGATCGCGACTTGTTGGACATGAGTGCGGCAATTGTTTCCGACAGCGGAACACCAGGCAGCGATACACGACGTGAAGGGGCCCTCTAGCACTGGCCCTTCGCACGTCAGTTTTCAGTGGCGTGTCGACTATCCGCACACAAAAAGTGGCAGAGCCGTAGAGAGGCGTAGTTCATTCTAGTACAGGTAGTAGTGAAGTAGAAGTGTGAGGATCACGATCTCAGCTTTTGCATTTTTGTATTATTTTTTTACATCGCAAGCCAAGCGCGCGCTAGCGGGCATTGATGCCCAATGTTATGATGACGATTGAAAGGGAGAAAAGACTTCGTTGGTTTCCACTCCACTCTCCGGCTCAGTACTACTACTAGTCTTGTAGATCTACACGTCACAGTTACTAGTTAGTTGTAGTTCTGATTGTATGCGCGTACACCATGTACACAGTGGGCACAGTCGTAATAACGTCTTTCGTGTAGCTGCATTCAAGTGTCAGAGCGTGCAGCACGAGGTCCACGATGATAAGAATGGCGAAAGTGAGGGCCACTTTCCTTTGGCCCGGTTGGGGCTAGTTTGGCCGGCTTGAGCAAGTTGAGGCTGCTCGCAGCGACTTTTCCACACGCAGCATTCCTTGAATGGTCGATTGCGTTGGACAACGAAATTTATGAGTGTGCTGCTTATGTGGTCATCATGGATCATGCTTCGCAGCTGATCATCAAGTGCTGGCTAGTACGAGGACGGTGATTCGAAGCACTTGCACTTTTTCTCGGCATTTGTTCCTCCTCCTTAGGGAACGCCGTCGATACCTAAATCCAATTAGCAGCTGAGAGAGTCACTTTTCCCAAGTGGTGATTTGCCGGCAAGGTGTCGTGCGACCTGCTCCAGCTGGCCTGTGGAGAATTTGGCGTTCACTGGGGCCCCCGCGAAGCTCATGAGCAAGGCCAAACCGGCAGGCGGGCAGCAAGCGTAACAGAGTTTTCTTCGTTTGAAAGTGCTGCCCAGTGTACTCTGCTCGACCAACCATCACCCACAAGCTGCTCTCGGTAACAGCTGGTTGAGCGGAAACAAACCAAAGACTTTTAGGTGTATTATGTCGTGTTCCTGCAGTTGGTCACGCGGAACACTAGAACTAGCAGAACTAGCAGAACAATGGCCATACTCGTACGTACATGACCAATCATGTACATCTACAATCATGTACTTCATGTACTTCATGACAGCGGAGAGAACGTTTTTGGTTGATCTTCGAATCTTTTTCCTTCCAGTGTGCGGGGAAAGAGGAAAAAATACGGTGTCTCAACTGGAGTTGGCTAAAATAGAATAGAATCACTCAATAGTTCAGCCTTGCAAGCTTGGGTCATTCATATCAGGGTTTTTGTTTGTACCAACGCGTTTACCATGCGGCACTATTTTTTCAGTGTACATCACCCACGAGGCACTATTCAAGAGAGCTACATAGGGCACTATGTTTTGAAATGCTGGTACATGTACGTCATCCAGCATAAACACAAGGAAGGCGAAGAAAAACAGATCCTGAGGTGTACTGTAAACTATCACGACTCAAGGGAAACTGAACTGAGGAATAAGCCCGGCTTTGATTAGCGACACTACGGTGGTGTCTAGCACCGCCGTAACACGACTGAAACCTCCAGACGAGGACGTCACGTACAATGCCTGTAGCAGGCCCACCGGAAACGGTTAGACAGGTGAACGCCGGACCAACCTTTTGGCCGACACCGACACATGTTTCCAACTGCTGAGGAGGTCATGTGTACCCACCACACCATACACAAGTTATGAACGGCCATGAAACTACCGGACCAAATCAAACACTGCCTCTGGCGGTCCTGAAGTCTGTTCAACGCTCCTCGTGCACTCTCTACACCGCCTCTTCTTCTCATTCTCATGCCATCAGGATTGGCAGGCCCGTAGCAAAGGCGTTACCCCGGAAATAAATCGAATAGTTTCTTCAACGCTACAATCAGTGGGTCTGGGTGGGAGGTTTGGTTAGTTAAAAGAAGTTGACATGGCTCTCCTGGGCACTAATTGTTTGTTTCGTCAACACTCAGTCTCTGTGCTTGATGTGATGAACGTGCAGCCAATCATCACTGGGATCATGCATGCTTTGCCAATGGTCAATGCTTGCTTGTCCTGCTGGAGGTACAAGTAGACTTATTTTGATATCTGGAGCTTGCATCTGCGGCTGCTGCCCTCTATTGAAAGCACCTCTTGAAAATGCAGAGAAGTGCAGTTCATTCTGTTGATTAGACTCAATGACTAAACTACTACAGTTGAACATCGATTATCCGAACATCGACTATCCGACCATTCGATTATCCGTAACAGTTTTTTTGGGCGCACGTGCCTTAGAATACGCACTGTGCATGTTGTGAGCCATTCAAAAAATACGAAAATTTTGAAAAGTAAAAAGGTCGTACATGTACATGTACATGTTTCTTATCCGGAACATTTGCCTTATCTGAACACCGCCTGACAGTTGTCTGCCCAGAGGTGGTCGGATAATCGATGTTCAACTGTACTACTACAATTTCCTTGCTTGCACATTTGCATGTACATCAATCAGCAAACACCCAAATGCTCTTATGCTTTTCTGTGTGAAGAGTTTTTGTCTTTGGGCGCCCTTTGGCACTTTGCCAACAATTACATCATCTCTCTGTCTTAATATCTGTCTCTGTCTCTGTCACTGTCTCTCTCTCTCTCTCTCTCTCTCTCTCTCTCTCTCTCTCTCTCTCTCTCTCTCTCTCTCTCTCTCTCTCTTTCTCTCTCTCTCTCTCTCTCTCTCTCTCTCTCTCTCTCTCTCTCTCCCCAATGTGTATGTTCCTTTGCAGACTACGACTGCAGTGAAGCTAACAGCTGCAGTGAGTGTTTAGATGTACATCCTGCATGCCAATGGTGCTCTGATCGGGTAAGGACGGTGATTCCCAGGAAGCTTGGAAAGTCCCATAAAACTCAATACCAACGTGCACCTTTCGTTCAAACTAATTAATACAACCCAGAACCTTTGCGATCTCATTCTTAAACAAAACATGAAAACCTCCTGAATATGCCACTTTGGAGGCACCAAACTTGCGACCAACAAGCTGAACGTCGCTCTCACCTCGCTGACCTCTTCAGACACATACTGTACTTCTGAGTACAGTAAATTATGTAGTGACCGGACAACCTTGGAGCAGCGGAAACTGTCCTGATATGACAGGATTCTGATATGGCAATGTTGTCACTGCTGTGTGGGTACCGTACTCGCACGATTAGAGCCCTCTCTTGAATAGTGCCCTATTGTGAATAGTGCCCCAATCTCTAACAGCCAGCAAAAAAAATAAAGCCCTTTCTTGAATAGTCCCCCTCCCCTCATGTACGGACCGGACAACCTTGGTGAAGCGGAAACTGTCCTGATATGACAGGATTCCGCTTGGTCCAGGAGTGCACGTTCGATCCGCAGCACTTTGGTGCATGAAAATTTGTCCTGTCAATACAGGATTGCCCTTGGTACAGGGGGTACAGAGGGGGTACAGGGGGTACAGGGGGTACAGGGGGTACAGGGTCCGGCAAACACAGTGTTTACTATACGTGAAGAAGATATTTATTCCACATCCCATAGCATGTAGTCGGCAATCAAGGAGAGGGGTAGAAAAGCAATCACGGCTGGAGAACCTTGAACAAACATAATACAAAGAAAAGAGAGAAAGAAAAAAGAAAAGGTAGCTAGACGGATTGTAAAGGGACTTCCCCAAGTTAATATTGGAGCTTGGAACCGTATGCGGTGAACACTGCTCTACGATGGGAGCGCCTAAACACTTCCTCGCAGTGTCGCGTGATTTGTTTGCCTGCTCGCAATGCAACTTGCTTGCCACTCGAACCGATCTTTCTCTGCGGTGGGTGCTGGGCCCAATCTGATGTACGTTGCAGCAATCATGTAGTTATTGTTTTCGTATTTTGTCACCGCCCATCAAGGTGCCATGGCATATCCTTTTATGCGCAATTTCCTGGACTGTAACAGAGGGCGCTTAGAATTGGGTGTCAAATTAGCAATGTGTGTTCTACATATTGTTTAGAGGTGAATGGGGTCTCATCCTGCATGTCTGCGGGCTATGGTTGCAGTCACTGGCCTGTCTCGGCCAATCAATTCTGTCATCAGATGAGAAAACGACCGAATTCTCAAGAAATCATGTAGATGGGTTTGGACTTGTGAAACACAGGGCTAGAGCATTCCTGTAACCATTCGTTCACCTCTGGTGATCAAGTGTTCTTGTCATCGAGCATGAGGTTCAGAAACAAGGCACCGTCGATTGGTTTGTTTATCACCTGGCGATTCGATTATCATACACAATCACTGTATGTACTGTATGAGTCTGGGGCTGTGCTTTCAGCTCCCCGCTGACTCAAATGTGCCGTGGCTTATTGTGCCCTGACACCTAATTTGTGCCACCAGAGTGACCTTATGGGCTGTAGATTCGTGTGCACTTTTCGAATGTTGTCTGCCGCCCGGGGGTGGACTGTCAAAGCATCCTTACAAATTGGATGTAAACAAAAGACTTCAAACTGCATCCTGAGGGTCGAGAAAACACTGCATTATCAGTCTGTTCATCTCCCGCTATATGTTATATTGTTGTGGACATAGAAAACCTTTGGAATGACCGGCACCCTTACCTGCTCAGTGTGAACACGCACTAAACACTGTAAGAATGGACCAGCAGTGCTCACTTCTGCACGACCAGCGCACCCCGTGGCTGCTTGATTTCGCTTCTCAACAGATTCCATTGTCCACAACTGTACAATGCTCTGTCAGTGTGCATTCTACACTCTCCATTTCACACTTCAAATCATACCCGGAACATAGTTAAACTGACGATGAATGAAAACAAGAAAGACTGGGGATGGACTGGAAAAACAACTTCGTTAGCTGAATGGAAATGATACAGTCAACTTCGCTAATAACGACTGCAGATATAACGACAATTCGCGAATAATGACAGAATTTTCATGCCCAGAGCAAAGTCCATTCTACCTGTATACATATAATGAGACTTCGGGTATAACGACACGTCGCGAAAAAGGACACTTTTCTGATGCCCTGCCGAGTGTCGTTATCCACAAAGTTGTCTGTATTCATACTGTTTCCGGAGGGCAAAGAAAACACGGCGGATCTTGTGGGTCATTGGCACAGTTAGGCACCCAATAAAATCATGAATGAAACGTTTTGAATTGGCACCGGTCACCTACATGTATTATTACAGGTGCCATCCTGAAGTCCTCCTCTAGAACTTCTAATACTCCAGTGCCAGCAATCATAGTATTTCATGAAAAAAATCTTAGTGCCGAAGAACGAACACGGAACAGGCTAGAATTTCACCAAGCTCAGCAGACTAACCTATACACGGTGACTCCACTGTGCATACACTGTCATAGATGTACATGAAAATAACTTGCATGGTCTAGCCCCCCCCCCCCCCCCCTCTCCCCCCAGTTCTTCTGTGACCGGCAGTACTATAGGCATGCTGTTCATTACCAGTGTTGCCACCCCCCCCCCCCCCGTTTTGTTCCCCCCCCCCGTTTTGTCCCCCCCCCCCCCCCGTTTTGTCCCCCCCCCCCGTTTTGTCCCCCCCCCCCGTTTTGTCCCCCCCCCCCCGTTTTGTCCCCCCCCCCCCGTTCTTCGGTGACCGATAGTACTCTGGGCATACTGTTCATTACCAGTATTTTGTTCTTCTTTGTCCGTGTGTAACTGCGTTCACCAACAGACTCTGGCGTATGTGAATACGCCGCGGTGTTCCAATGACACCAGGAACTGCACCAATGCCACGCAGCTCCACTCCGAACCCCTGGTACTTGTGGTAAGGAAACCTTGTCCACTTTGTCTCATTTGTGTCTTTCCCTCAAACCAGTTAAAACTTTGTCTTGGCAAAATCGTTTTTACTGCTAGTGATCCTACGTATGTCGCTTTTGGATATTTGTCTCTTCCATGAATGGATGGGGCGAATGGGATTTTCGGTCAGTTTGACCACTTTGTGGTGGGTCTGATCTACTCACCTCCCACCGCTTGGGAGCTGCATCTGCGCCTTGAACCAAGAGGGCGGTGGCGTTCCTGCGGATGCGGAAAACTCGGCCGTCAGCCGAGTGTTGCGCGAACCGTGAATTTTTTTTAATTTTTTTCAAGTGCGGCTTATACTCCGGAAAATGTGGCTGCCTGCTTGGGTATGTGCTCCTGGTGCATGATCCGCACCCATCTGTGTCAATTCTTTATGTCAAATACATCCCTACCTATGAGTTCTGAACGAAGAAGAAAAAAGCAGGGACAATTTAAATTAATGGTAGGGGACACATACTGACCAACCACCAAAATCTCAATCCCTTGACAAGACATGCAGAATCCCTGGAATTCTCTCAAAATCACTGGATGACACAAGAACGCGTGAAAAAAGAGCTTTTCCCGCCAAAAAAACGATCGACGGCACAGGATTCTGGACTCTGCGTACAGCACAGTTCGACCCTGCATTGCAGTTTGATCAGTCGGCGGGCGCCAAGCGTGCCTGTCAGTGCAGATCATGCAGGCAAGGCTGGTCAAGTCTTGAAAGTGCCGTGCAGAGTTCGAAGCGCGAGTGCACACCGTGCATATTTGTGAAAAAATCTGGACATTGAAAGTGAGTCATTGGAGTTTTCAGGAAAAATCTGGATCATACAAAACTGTGACTTTTCCGGGAGTTTGCTCAAAATCCCGGGACCGCGGGACTATTGTTGTTTAAAATCCCGGGAAAACCGGGAGGGTTGGCCTGTATGCACGCAAAGTGTTGGTTTTGTGATTTGTTGCTGACGCAGAGGGCCGAGCCAATCAGTGACGATGTGGAAGTATCGCCACAGCTTGTAACCGCCAAGATGAGGGCAGGTATGTGCGCCTTCCTATGGGGGGGGGGGGGGGTGCCTTCCTATGGGTGTGTGTGCGTGTGTGTGTGGGAGGGGAGGTGTGTATGCGCATGCATGTGGGTATGTATCCATCATCATCATCACACTACAGAGTGTCTGGAATACAGACGTACATAATGTAGTGATTTGCTTTCGTTTCCCGATGGTAACAACTGCCGACAGTGTCCATTGCCAGTTTTACTGCCCCCCCCCCCCCCCCCCCCCCCCCCCGGTATTGCCTGCCACATACAGCACAGTGAATGTGCTGTGGCAGGTGTCCATCTTCCCTTGTCCTTTCCCTACAGCTTTGGCTGTGTGTGTGCGTGCGTGTGTGTGTGTGTGTGTGTGTGCGTGCGTGCGTGCGTGTGTGTGTGTGTGCGCTCCCATTTGTGTGCGCGCATGCATTTGTTTCCATCTAGGTGACACCATGAAGCTACAAGTACAACTGAGAAGAGCACCCAACTATCCACTGGATGTTTACTATCTGATGGACCACACTCTGTCCTTTGAAAGCGATCTTCAAGTCCTGCAGAATGACGCCGAGGCCATAGGTAGGCACAACAATTCTTAAAGATGTTTACTGTAAATATTCAAAATTTCGGCGCTGCAAAAATGCGGCATTTCATGATTTTCGAGATTTCGGCAGCGACTTGTTTTCGGTACAGGGTTTGCGTGTGTGTGCGTGTGTGTGTGTCTATGTGTGTGTGTGTGTGTGTGTGTGTGTGTGTGTGTATGTGTGTGTGTGTGTGTGTGTGTGTGTGTGTGTGTGTGTGTGTGTGTGTGTGTGTGTGTGTGTGCGTGTATGTGCACATGTGTGCGTGTGTGTGTGGGGGGGGGGGGGGTGGTGTGTGTGTGTGTGTGTGTGTGTCCATGTCTATTTATGTGGATGTATGTATGTGTGCTTGTGTGCATGCATGTCGTGTTGCTAACCTCAGTATCATCCGTCAAGCTGGCCAGCAGAAATGCTCGTTTAGGTTTCGGTGCGTTTGTAGATAAGCCCATTCAGCCGTACGTCATCACGCAGCCACAGAGCAACGAACTCAGGTCAGGCGCTTTCATAGAGATCTTGGTTTATTGGTTTCACGTTTCTCCTGATGATGGCGGTGTACGGTTGCCCTTGCTAATGGCAACCTGAGAGAGGACGATAATTCTCTGGGTCCCCAAGTAAAATGAAATATCAAGAACAACAACAATAACAAATCTTGATCTGGATTAAGCAGAGTATTGCTTTTCGCGAGTTTCGTTATTGATATCTTCTTTATCCTGATGATGGTGATTCGTTCCAACAAGGGATTAGAAAATGACATACCTATTCGTGAAGTTGAAAGTATGCCCTCGGATGGTAACTAGTTGTGGAGATAGTGTCAGCATTCTCGAGTTGTTGTAATACCCCGATGTTGGAATTCACGAGATTGGTTGTACCCTGGGGCTAAAGGATATTAGTGACCCTCCCTCCTTTCCCTCCCATCTCCTCCTCCCACCTCCTCTTCCTCCCCTTCCTTCCTTCTTCCCCTTCCCTTTCCTCCCCCTCCCCCACTCCTTTCCTGCCTCCCCCTTCTTTCCTTTCTTTCCCTTCTTTCCTTCCTTATATTCTGGAAAATATGGTAACTTAATCAGTTGCTCTCTGTGTCTTTGCTGCTGCTAATATGCAGGCCGGTAAAAATGTGTGCTAACTGTACACTGCCGTACGCGTTTGAGAACGCAGTGCCGCTGAACGACAATGAAACTAAGTTTGTGGTGAGTTGCCAGGTGATGATGCACCGTATTAGCCCCAGTAGATGTGCACTTCTTTCATTTGTTCAAAAGTAGTCAGACCTGTGCTACCCAGGCAGTTCACTTCCCCGCCTGATCCTTGGAATTTGAAGTTCTCCCAATCCTTTAAAAATAGATATCCGCCCAATATTCGTTGACTTACGGTGCAAGGGTATCTGGTATCATCTGCTGTGTGTCATGGGCAGAATGGCTTGACCGGACGTCGTATCTCCGCTAGTCTGGACAGACCGGAAGGAACTTTCGAAGCCATGATGCAGGTCCTCGTCTGCCCTGAGGTAAGAAAGACGTGCTATTTCTGCTTTGTGGGTTCAGTGGAAAACCGGATCTTATTGGTTCGATCCCATTCCCTTGATTCTACACGTTCTATCTCACTCTCCCTAGCTCTCTCTTCTCTCTCTATCACTATCTATCGCTCCCTCCCTCTCTCTCTCTCTCTCTCTCTCTCTCTCTCTCTCTCTCTCTCTCCTCTCTCTCTCTCTCTCTCTCTCTCTCTCTCTCTCTCTCTCTCTCTCTCTCTCTCTCTCTCTCTCTCTCTCTCTCTCTCTCTCTCTCTCTCTCTCTCTCTCTCTCTCTCTCTCTCTCTCTCTCTCTCCCTGTCTCTCCCCCCCCCCCCTCTCTCTCTCTCTCTCTCTCTCTCTCTCTCTCTCTCTCTCTCTCTCTCTCTCTCTCTCTCTCTCTCTCTCTCTCACACACACACACACACACACACACACACACACACACACACACACACACGCACACCGTCATTGTGAAGATATGAATTGAAGCTTTAGCTCCAGGCAATGACCTAAGTCACATGACAAGAGAAGTCTGCTTCTGTGCATATCTCTACAATATTATCAACCGCCTAAGGTTAAATTTCTCAACAAGTCTTTTCCTTCGGGTTACAGATACGGTTATGTGTATGTAGTGGGAACTTTGGTAGTACCGAGTACCACGAGAGCACCCCGCCACGCGAGAGAGCCCCACCTTGATTTTATAGCCAAGGGAAGGGAAATTGTATGCCAGAGTGTTGCTAAGTTTGTACGCTGCGAGAACCTTAGTACACTAAGGACATACTTGGCATGTTCTTTGTGTGGAGCTGGCATCCGTTCGAAGGTGAATTGAGTATGGATTGACTGCACAGCATGCAATGTGTGTACAAGGTCCGTGTCGTATTACCAGCAAACAGGACACACTTCCACAAGCCGAGCACGAAAGGACGATGGGGTGCTCTCGCGGTACTTTACGGTAGAGGTCAATGGGAGAATATCATGATCTCTATTTGGGCACGGGCAAATTTTTGCGTCCCACACATGCATATTGCCAGGTGTGTCTTTACCACCAGATTTATCAATCGCACATGCAAGTGTTTATTATTATTATTTAAAACGTTTAGCGCGAGTATACTCGTCATTGCCCAGACGCGATGGGGTCTGCATGACGAGTATACTCATCGTTGCCCAGACGCGATGGGGTCTGCATGACGAGTATACTCGTCATAAACCCGGAAAGGGTTAATTGGTTTGAATTCATAGATGCAGTGAATGGGATTTTTGGTCTTTGACCACTTTGGAGGGTGTGATCTCCTCACCTGCCACCGCTTTACGAGCATGCATCTGCGCCTTGATCCTTGAAGGGTGGTGGCGTTCCTGCGGATGCGGAAAACTCGGCCTCTAGCCGAGCCTGACGCGAGCCGTGAATCTTTTGTACTCATACCATGTGTGTATGTTACCTGTTTCTGCTGCAGGAAATAGGCTGGCGTCCGACTGCACATCGCGTACTTATCGTAGCTACTGACACTGGCTACCACGCTGCTGGCGATGGACGGGTAAGGGACTGTACCCTGAAGGTGTTTAGGCCCTTGAATACTAGCATGGTTTCCCTGACTCTCACGTGTGCTGCAAACCCGGAAGCCGTTACAATGCGAAACCCATTAGTGGTTTTCACGGTGGGTGTGTGAAGTCGCTAAAGTAAGCGTGCGCGAAACGTAGAACTGTAGCAAAGAAACTGAGGAAATTGACTGCAATCGCAAACATCTCCAGGTGCAAATCTGTCTGTACTGACAAATCGCTAACTACTTGAACAAGCCCAAATGTTGCCGGATTTACGGTATTGTCAAGTGAATCCCGTGTATGTTCTGTGCGTGTGTGTGTGCGTGTGCGTGCATGCACGCACGTATGCATGTGTGCACTCTGGCTTCTTCCCTTCACAGCTGGCCGGTATTGCCTTACCTAACGATGGGCGATGTCATCTGGATGCCGATGGCACGTATTCTGCTTGGAACACTTACGTAAGTGGAACACTCATACTCCCGCCGGATACCCCAGGGGCGTAGCAGCCGGTCCGGCCGGTTCGGCTTTTGGCCGGACCACTTTTTTTAAACGCAATGCCAAAAGTGCCCAGAATGCAGGATTTTGCACCCTAATTAGTATTTCAATATATTCCCAGGGGGAGACCCCCCCCCCCCCCCCCGGACCCCCTCCGGCCGGACCACATCCAACGGCAGTGCTGTATTGATTTATTCTGGTATTGATTTATTTGAATTCGGTATCTCAACAGTACAATGTACAACTTGGGAAGATCCGAATGACATAGATACATAAACATAAAAGTGGAGTAGGTGCTACAGCTGATCATTTTATCGCAGGTTGTGGGACTAAACTAATACCAGTATGCAAGTACACAAGAAATAAAAGCTGAATAAATACGACTGCATGACAGTGCTACGCGTCTGTACCCAGACACAGAAGTCCACTGGGTAAGGTCGGTACTCGACCATTAAAATTTTGACAAACAGAAGAAGAACCCCGAAACAGTACCAGTATGCAGCGCAGAGCTTGCCATGGAAACATGCTGTGCGATCCTTGAAACATTCCTTTTTTTATCGTCGAAGAGAATGATGCCAAGATCAAGTCCAGGCATGACATGAAGCCTGCACCAGAGCGCAGAGAATTGCCATGCGTTGATCCGCGTGGTGAAAGCAATACGTCTGAAATTCGTTCCGAAACAATCTTGCTGACGTATCCTGTGCAGATTTGGGTTTTTTGCATCTCAATCAGTAACTTCTACATCATAACATCCACTTGTGCTGACCTGGCCACAATCCACATGATCCATGGGAAGACCCCGAGACACGCAGCTGAAAAATCGGTTTTGAAAAGTTTGAGCAATGTTGTGCCGCTATCAAACTTTTGAGTACAATCCTTCCTGTGTGTGCGTGTACGTACGCGCGCGCGCGCGCGTATGTGTGTGTGTGCGTGTGTACATGTGTGTACGTGCATGTGTGCGTATGGGTGTGTGTGTGTGTGTGTACTTGCGCGTGTGATTGCTGTACGGTGTTACAGGACTACCCATCGCTGGGGCAGATCAACAACTTCGCTCAGTTGAACAGCGTCAATATCATCTTCGCCATCAAGGACGGTGCCACAGAACAATATAACGTGAGTAGATTCAAGGAACAAGGAGATGATGTGGCACTAGAGTATCTCCATGATTTCTTCAAAGCCCCGCATCAGTGAACAATGGCAAGAACTTGAGGTACAACAGCATAGCTAGAGAGAAAAGAGAAATTTTGGCAATAGGCAGGGGCGTCGCACACGGTACGGTCACTGCGGTATTGACCGTACCACTTTTTTGCCCCAGATACCCCGTGAATCAACCAAATACACTGATCTGGGATCTAAAATTCCAAAATTTTCGGCTCAGCCACCCCTCCCACACGAGTAAATTGTACTTCAGATGGCTGACCGTACAACACAAAAATACCTTCCGACGCCCCTGATAGGGTTATAGCGTGATACATTGTTGCTGGCTGTTTGACCAGACCAGTGGGAGGTGGTGCAATGTGCACTGATTGCTAGGATTACTTGTACAAGGCCAATTGAGTCATCTGTCCAAGATTCCTTTCAAATCTCTCTCCCCAAGTTTCCCGGGGAGACCCACTGCGTGACCAGTGTTGCCAGTGGGCATGTACAAGTACAATTGTTTGTGTTGTTGTTGTTGTTGTTGTTGTTGTTGTTGTTGTTGTTGTTGTTGTTGTTGTTGTTGTTGTTGTTGTTGTTGTTGTTGTTGTTGTTGTTGTTGTTGTTGTTGTTGTTGTTGTTGTTTATTTTACTGTGTCTCTCTGTGTATGTAC